ATGTTTCATAATAATCATACATGTGTAGAGAATGAATATAAGTACGTGCGTGCCAATTTTCAGACTTAAACTTGATCGTTTGCGGGCAGTGCAAAAATCACAGGTTGGTTGTTTTCCGCACTTGTAGCTCATACCGCTCCTTGACCGTTTTGCTATTCCTGCACCAAGCACAAATGGCCATGCTTAAGTTTCAATTTTACATGCACATACTTGTTTCGTTTCTGGGTTTCAACAAGTTTGCTCCGCTAAATTCGCAAAAACGAAAAGTATGGTCTCTTGAGACGAAAGCCTAGAGGCAGCAACCTCACAGTGAATCGTCAATGAATGCAGGAGGAAGAAGACTTCAGCACCCCCAATGATTTTGATGCATTTTTTAATTTGTGTAAGATTGTTTTTTATGAAGATTTGTGCTAATGATGCATATATCATGAAAACAGACTCCGTCTTTTCGGCCTGTCGACACGTGCATGCGTGTCTTGCTATCGATCTCTGGCTATAGCTGCTGCTTTAACCCGAATGCGATGTTTGATAGGTACGGGGATGATCGATCACCGTCCATCCGTCCGTATCATCGAGCGTCACGTATTGCATTTCTTTCCTCCAATTTGGCGCTAGCTGGGTAGCTTGTTTAGCTCGCTAGCCACTCATCGTCCACTCGATCCTGACCACGTGTGCCTACATGAATACACTAGCAATAACTAAGTACGTGCGTGTGTTACTAGGAGATATCGACGCACTTATCCGAAAATACAAGGAGAGATGCCATTTTGCTGCTAAGATAGTTACCGTTGCTCTTTGCGGAAAGTACCTATCTACCCAACTCAAAAACTTACCTATATATTATTGATGTACCTTCATACTTTACGGTGCTATACTATTCATGCACCGGTCACCAAAAGGCACGAAAATCTCCACAAATAATTGTGATAGGATGCATCTCAAAATTTAAATCCAAATTGCAACGATTTACGCCTTCGGCGGGCACAAAACACATAGGTGCTAAATGGAATTTTAGCTCTAACCGGCGTACAATCAATTTTGACTTCCTTTGAAAACAAGAAGACCTTTTACCTCTGCACATGCATGTATGCCATATATACATCAATTTTGGATATGATGAAGTACGCAAGGATATATACACATACTTCATCCGTTCAGAAATACTTGTCTTAGAAATAGTTGTATCTAGAACTAAAACAAGTCTAGATACAACCATTTTTAAGACGAGTATTTCGGAAACGGAGGGAGTAGAAAAGAATTTCAGCAGTGTTTGGCATGCCAAACCGTGTATGATGGCTAAAAGTAGCTCGCATAGCACGAGTGGATGTCATGATCGACAACTAGTCTCCTGCATCCTTTTCATCGAGGGAATTAACGGGCCCCGCTCGAGCACCTACACACACGTGTGCATGCATATGACGATGGACCACCGGCTGCATGCATCAGCGGTACACGTAGATCTAAGCTAGCGACGAGTGCAATTAATTTGCCGCTGGAATATACTCCTGCTCAAGGTAATCTAGCTGTAGGATGCCCCTGCTAAGTCTACATGCATCCATGGCCGGCACGTAAGAGACTCTGACAGGCCGGCCGGGGTGCACACGTGGACAGCGCGGATGCATACAAGATGGAACAAGAGACGGCGCCGTCACGCCTTGTGCAACGTGATTAACTGTCCCTAAAAGCACGCACGTGCGAAATGGATCAGATAGATAGATATCTATAGATAGATGGATGGATGTTGTAGTACTGCTTGTAGCATGCATACATGCATATGTTTGCTTAATTATAAGTATATACGTTATACTAGTGCCTTACGAGGATTCGAGGGAGAAATTAAGCTGCATGCACATGCACTTCCTAATGAGACAAATCTCACACACAACATTCTCTTCAAATAGCTGGCTAGCAACCTCCGTACTCATGGTTATTTACGTGTGCATACAATGGCTTTGTATTAGGTCTATCCTACACAGTTTCAAAAGATATGTATCTTTTTTATGATGGTGTTCGCTTCAAAGGTTGTCAGAATCAAGCAATCGGATTGGAGCCCTGATATAGTAGGCTCGCAAACCATAGAATCTTCATTAGTGGAACCGTAAAAACATAGATTTCACTAACTGGAATCACAAGAATCATATGAGTCAGTTTGCATCATAAAGTCGTAGAATCGTATTAATAGAATCGTGATTCTGACAGCCTTACTTCACTCGATTGAAGCATACGGACATGTTTTTCTCACCCTTGATAACAGTGTAGCCTTCGGATATGACCTCATATATCCCATACTACTTTTTTATTTATGGTTCCTGTAAAAAGATGTTTTTATATTATTTTTCATATTTGTTGACTGTGTGCATGCTGTTATGCAGAGGCCAGGTATTCATTGAGTGTTGTTATATCACATTGATATAACATTTGAATAAAAAGGGAAAACAATAACTAGTGCTAGCCCTTTATCGGTCATATCATGGGAGTAAGAATGAGCAAAAGCAAAACGATAAAATTGTATACTCCCAAACCATGTCTACTAGCTAGAGCTAGCTTTTACTTCTTCCAGGGGTTTATCGGTCATATCCCAAGTGAATCAATTGATCTTATACATATAGTACATGATTTAGTTGATGTGCACTATTTTTTCAATCTGACCTACGCAGGCAAATCGATTGAGTAGTGCACAGTTCACCAGTATCTTGTACAAAATTCGATATAATTGAAGACTCGGTATATTCGCACGGCTTGATGGAATTGTCCGTAGATTAAACTATCCATATAATCGATCAGGTGATGGCCCGGTCGTGCATATTCTTCTTGTGGAGTAAGAGTAGACGAAAAAGCTTTCTCCAAAGTCTCCAGCGACTTTGGACTACCTAGCTTAGCTAAGCCAGTTTAGCACGCAAGCCAATCATCATTCCCATGTACATCCCATCACAAGGCACAAAAGTCAAATCCGGCCTAAAAGGATATATTAATGGTGTAAGCTAATTTCGTCTCATAGCTAGCGGCATCGCTGACAGTGGTGACATAATCATGGGTAAAATTTTACACTTAAAATTTATGATGGCGTGACAGAAACTAAATAATAGTATAAGGAGATATATGAACCTTGCATTTAGATGAACCAAAATACTATGTACAAGCTCTAAGGTGAAAAAACAGCCATTTACTTGAACTTAGATCTTAATTCTACTGTATTTACTGTAGGAGTAGTTGTATGGTGAGCAGGTTTTCGTTACCACAGGGTAACCGCGTTTCTCAGCCCCCCCTTCCCCGCCGTTAGGTAGTTTATTGCTCGTAAAATCCTCAACATATGGTTCACAATAATGTAACAAAGAATAAATAGGGAAATAAGAAACTTTTATGTACATACACAACCCCATGCGTAAGCTAGAGAGCAACTAAAACATTCTGAGCGGTTGTATACATCCAATGATATTAATACTTTTTTTCAACAAGATAATGCACTCGATATTTTGAGATGCTCCAATGAAATTGAGCTTTCATTATTTTCGATCTAT